CTCGACTTTTCCTCAAATAATCCCAGCTCAAACTGGCAACAAACTCCAGATTCCTCCTCCTCCCTCCCCAGGACAAGGATCCACTCCTGGAATTCTGTGGTTTCTAATGAAGGCTGAGGCATAGCAATTTAATTACCCACTAATTACAGGAAGTGCTGCATCCAACACCTGGAATTTCCACACCTTGCCCCAGGAAAAAGCTGCTTCCCTGGAGATTTCACCCATTTGGGGACACCTCTCCCTGATTTTTCCAGCAATTTTGGGATCAATCCCCTCTGGATGAGAATCTTGCAATCCCAGAATTCTTTGGATTGGAAAGCATTTGGAATTTTATCCCATCCCAGATCCGTCCAAGCTGGCCTTGGGGCACTTCCAGGCATGGAAATCCCCAGGAATTAAACTCACAGAGTGAATTTAGGGAGCAGCTGAGAGGATTCTTTGCTCCAAAATTCGCTTTTTTCACCTGTTTGATCTGTTCCCACAACATCCTGGTCACTGTTGAGCCCGAGTGGAAAGTGACCTCCACGTGATAGGCTGCATTCAGGATCTGGAAAAGCAGAAAAATGGGAATTTTCCTCTGGGAAAAGAGAGAAAAAAAAAAAAGGGAATTCTGACAGCTAGGAACTTTGCTAGAGCCTGTGAAAATGGAAAAAAATGGGATATTCCATGAATCACTTGGTTAATTGATTTATTGTGTTCTTTCATGGGTGTTTCTAGGCTGTAATTTGATTATTGTATACAAATTTAGGAAAATGACTGTTTCACTATCCCAAATTCCCACACATTCCCGAGCTGTTTCCCTGATTTTCTTGCCTCCACCTCTCTGGAGCAGCAAAAAGGCCCTGACTGGGCCAGACCTGTTTGAGGTAATTTATTCATTATCTCATAGGCGTTTTTAGGTTGTAATTTGATGATTTCCCACAGATTTAGGAAAATGACTCTTTCACCACCCCAAATTCCTGATTTCTCCATGTTTCACCACCCCAAATTCCCGATTTCTCCATGTTTCACCACCCCAAATTCCCCTCCCCTGGCAGACCTGTTTGAGGTAATTTATTGATTATGTCATGGCTAGTTTTAGGCTGTAATTTGATTACAATTGATTTGTTGATTATCTCATAGGTGCTTTTAGGTTGCAATTTGATGATTTCACACAGATTTAG